AACAATATTTTTTACGTGGGATTGGTTCAATGTTGTCAACACCATCAGATTTAAATTTGAAAGGTTTTAAATATCTAAGGGCTTGGTTTAAATTGATTGGCTAAATTTGAAAACTATTGTCTTGGTAAAAATGCTGCTTGCCTGTTCGATACAAAATGTTTTCATTCGGGCGCTCTCTATGTCCACTGCTTGCAAACTTCCAAGCGCAGACAAAGCACAATCTCTTAAAGGGAGCACGCACTGTTTTTTAATTCATGAGTATTCTACAGAACTTCATAACAAGGAGAATGAATTTCTTCTGAGATGCTCTGGACACAAGGGGTGAGCTGCTGTGCATTACATGCCACCTGTATCAGAGGCAGCATTGGAGGAATCTGATCCAGTGCTAAAACGCCCCAGAAAGAGCTACGAGAAAAAAGGTACAGGCCTATGCCCTCATACTCAGAGGGGGTGGGATGTAATGATTGTGATGAGGTCAGCCAGGTGGACCTCATAGAATATGAGTTCTCCGATTCTTGCAGTAAATCTTGTCCAATTAGGGAGCTCTGGCTGACAGATGTAAACAGAAGTGTCTGAGGTTCTGTTCACTGTGAGAGCTGGCTCTGAGAGAGCTGGATCAGTGTCAAGGACTCTCCATGTGTAAGTAACGGGTGACTTGGTGACGGGATACCGGCCTCCATGGGGTTATTTCACCACCAGATTATAGAATCATAAAGTCCAGAAGGAGATCATTCACCTCATCTTGGCTGTGTCCGTTCATTGAAAAAGATATCCAATCAAATTTACTACATTCCCTCCACCTTGTTCTACTCCCACATTGCTCCAGTTTTGGAAGATCAAATAGGAGGGATTGTCCCTCCTATTGCAACTGAAGGTTGAAAAGTTTTTGGGTTGAAGATCAAAAAAATTTTTTTATTCGTTTGTGGGATGTGGGCGTTGCTGGCAGACCAGCATTTCTTTGCCCATCCCTAGTTACCCTTGAGAAGGTGGTGGTGAGCTGCCTTCTTGAACCGCTGTAGTCCTCCTGCTGTAGGTTAACTCACAATGCTATTAGGGAGGGAACTGGAGGATTTTGACCCAGCAACAGTGAAAGAACGGCGATATATTTCCCAGTCAGGATGGTGAGTGGCTTGGAGGGGAACTTAGAGGTGGTGGTGTTCCCATTTGTTTGCTGCCCTTGTCCTTCTAGATGGAAGTGGTTGTGGGAGTTGGAAGGTGCTGTCTGAGGATCTTTGGTGAATTTCTGCAGTGCATCTTGTAGACAGTATGCACTGCTGCTACTGAGTGTCGGTGGTGGAGGGAATGGATGCTTGTGGATGTAATGCCAATCAAGTGGACTGCTTTGTCCTGGATGGTGTCAAGCTTCTTGAGTGTTGTTGGGGCTGCACTCATCCAGGCAAGTGGGAAGTATTCCATCACACTCCTGACTTGTGCCTTGTAGATGGTGGACAGGCTTTGAGGAGTCAGGAGGTGAATTACTCACTGCAACATTCCTAGCTTTTGGCCTGCTCTTGTAGCCACAGTGTTAATGTGGTGAGTCCAGTTGAGTTTCTGGTCAATGAATACCCCCAGGATATTGATAGTGGGGGATTCAGTGATGGCAACACTACTGAATATCAAGGGGTGGTGGTTAGATTGTCTCTTATTGGTGATGGTCATAGCCTGGCATTTGTGTGGCATGAATGTCACTTGCCAATTGTCAACCCAAACCTGGATATTGTCCAGATCTTGTTGTATTTGAACATGGTCTGCTTCAGTATCTGAGGAGTCACGAATGGTGCTGAACATTGTGCAATCATCTGACAACATCCCCACTTCTGATCTTATGATGGAAGGAAGGTCATTGATGAAGCTGCTGAAGATGGTTGGGCCTAGGACAGTACCCTGAGGAACTCCTGCAGAGATGTCCTGGAGCTGAGATGATTGACCTCCAACAACCACGATCATCTTCCTATGTGTTAGGTATGACTCCCTCCACTGGAGAGTTTGCCCTCTGATACCCGTTGATTCCAGTTTTGCTAGGGCTCCTTGATGCCACACTCGGTCGAATGCAGCCTTGGTATCAAAGGCTGTCACTCTCACCTCACCTCTGGAATTCAGCAGTTTTTTCCAAGCTTGAACCAAGGCTGTAGTGAGATCAGGAGCTGAGTGGCCCTGGCGGAACCCAAACTGGGTGTCACTGAGCAGGTTATTGCTGAGCAGGTGCTGATTGATAGCGATAATTGCAATCTTTTGCAATCTAGTGTCGCCAACTGTTTCTTGATATCACGTGCAGTGAATGGAATTGGCTGAAGACTGGTATCTGTAATGCTGGGAACCACTGGAGGAGGCCAAGATGGATCATCCACTCGGCACTTCTGGCTGAAGATTGCTGCGAATGCTTCAGCCTTATCTTTTGCACTGATGTGCTGGGCTCTTCCATCATTGAGGATAGGGATATTTGCGGAGCCTCCTCCTCCAGTGAATTGTTTAATTGTCCACCACCATTCACGACTGGATGTGGCAGGACTGCACAGCTTTGATCTGATCCATTGGTTGTGGGATCGCTTAGCTCTGTCTATCACTTGCAGCTTTTGCTGTTTGGCATGCATGTAGTCCTGTTTGGTGGCTTCAACAGGTTGATACCTCATCTTCAGGTTTGCTTGGTGCTGCTCCTGGAATGCCCTCCTGCACCATCCATTGAACCAGGGTTGACCCCCTGGCTTGCTGGTAATGGTTGAGTGGGGGATATGCTGGGCCATGAGGTTACAGATTGTGCTGGAGTACAATTCTGCTGCTGTTGATGGCCCACAGTGCGTCATGGATGCCCAGTCTTGATCGCTAGATCTGAGTGAAATCTGTCCCATTTAGCACGGTGATAGTGCCACACAACACGATGAAAGTTATTCTCAATGTGAAGGTGGGACTTCGTCTCCACAAGGACTGTGTGATGGTCACTCTTACCGATACTGTCATGGACAGATGCGCCTGCAGCCGGCAGATTGCTGAGGATGAAGTCAAGTATGTTTATCCCTCTTGTTGGTTCCCTCACCACCTGACGCAGACGTCCAGCAGTTATATCCTTTAGGACCTGACCAGCTCGATCAGTAGTTCTGCTGCCCAGCCACTCTTGGTGGTGGACATTGAATCCCCCACACAGAGTACATTTTGTGCCCTTGCCATCCTCACTGCTTCCTCTAAGTGTTGTTCAACGTTGAGGAGTACTGATTCCACAGTATTGATTATTTCCCAGCAGACAAACATTTCTATCTGTATGTTTGAAATGGAATTAACATCTGAGATTCTTCCTTCGAAGAGTCTACGCTTCGATTAAATTAGAATCAAATCTTTGGAACAAAAACATTTTATCAGTGTTTCAGGAAGTTTTCTCAGGAAGTTAGCATATATCACTAAAATTGTATAGAACTGGCTCACCTGAACTATCATTGCTGTAGAGAAATGGAACTGGCATGATGTCAAACGGAGAGACTTGAGGGTCAGGTACATACTTCTTTGAAAGTTGCATCGCAGGTAGGCAGGGTGGTTAGAAGGCATTTAGCATGCTTGTCTTCATTGTTCAGATCATTCAGTATAGGAATTGGGGTGTCATGTTGAGGTCATACAGGACGTTGGTGAGGCCACTTTTGGAGTACTGTGTACAGTTCTGGTTGCTGTGGAGGGAAAGGATTTACCAGGATGTTGCTGGGATTAGAGGGTTTGGTTATAAGGAGAGGTTGGATAGGCAAGGACTTTTTCACTGGAGCATAGGAGGTTGAGGGATGACCTTATAGAGGTTTATAAAATCATGAGAGGCATTGATAAGGTAAATAGCAAAGGTATCTTCGTTAGGGTGGGGGAGTTCAAAACTAGGAAGCATATTTTTAAGGAGAGAGGAGATAGATTTACAAGGGACCTGGGAGCAACATTTTCACACAGAGGGTGGTTCATGTGTGGAATAAATTGCCAGAGGAAATGGTAGATGTGGGTACAATTCCAACATTTAAAAGGCATTTGGACAGTACATGAATAAGAAAGGGATATGGGCCAAATGTAGGCAAGTCGGACTAGTTTAGTTTGGGAAAATTGGTAAGTATGGACGAGTTGGACTGAAGGGTCAGTTTCCATGCTGTATAACTCAATGACTCTTTTAGGGCTTAATGCTGGCAGAATAAAAAGGGCAGAGAAAATTTCAACACTACTGCAGACCTTTCTGGATGTTCTGTCATGCATTTGGCCTCCAGTCTGAGTCAATTACCTTTCTAAACAAGCTGTTGAGGAAGGAGCTTAAAATATTGAAATTAACTAACCTTTTTGTCTTTGTCCTTCTCTGAAAATTCCCAAATGCCCCAATTTGGAATAGGCTACAGGTCTACTTGGCTACTAATGTGTGGTTGTCCATTGTGTGATCCCCAGAAAAATCAAGTAGGAGCAAGGAATGCTAACCATCCACTTCACTTGCATTGTTATATCGGGCCGGCAGCATACTGTACCCTATTAGGAGCCTCCAAAGCCCTTAGGCTGTAAAGAAAGTGGGTGATCCCTTATTATTTCTTTTCCCTGCCCTCTATGCTCAATTAATTTAAAGCTTTCCATCAGCAACATTCATAAAATAGAAACAAAATTTTATTTATGAAAACATACATGTTCCATGGGATGAAGTCTGTACTTTTATCACAGGATGATGCTTCAGTATGGTATGGTGTACTCTATATTTTCACTTCGTAAAAATTGTCTGATTTTACTTTTTTAAAATGAAATGATTTTTACGTTAGGTCTTTGGGGAGATTTTGAATTTTTGTCGGCCAGGTAAATGGATTTTTGTGAATCTTATTTTCTTGTATTTCCAGTCACTGATGTATGTACATCAGTGTGACAGATGAGATATATTTGTGTTATATTTATTTTGAACGATATTAATACTGTGGTGTCACTGTAAATGTTTCACAAACAAAACTGAGCTTATTTTGTTTCAGATTTATTTGTGCAGTTATCTTCAGGGGGATTCCTTAATTTTTTGAGTAATGATGAGACCAGCAAAATTTTGTGCTTGTGTGGCTATCTTGGTCACTGTCATCTGCTTACCGGGACTGAGATCTTCCACCATTCACAAGTGGCAAAGAAGAAACATGCAAATATTTGAGGTTTCTACTGAAAAGCCAGAAAGCACCACAAGCTATGATGAGAACAGTAATGGGGTGAAAAGTGCCACAGAGATCAGTGGAGTGAAAACAAGTTCTTCTGTTTTCAGTAATATGTTAAGGCCTTCATTAGAAACATTAACTGCAGCAATAACTTCTAGCATTGCTGAGAAAAAAGAAACAAAACAAACCAATAAGACAGAAAATGAAAATGTAATCACCATGACCAGCCTTGATGTATTACCTACAACTAGAACAATGGTGCCATTTCAGGACCAATTTAATACAAGTACAAAAGATGACAATTGGAATAAAACTCTACAGTCTCAACAGAAAGACTTTGTAACAGTCTCAACTACAAAATCCTCTTCCAGTCAAGGCATTGATGCCAGCGAAGTTAACAATATTGTTTACACGACAACAGGAGCAACACAGAATGATGCTGCCACTCAAAATAACCAGAAAACTGAAGGAACAATGAAGAATAAGAAACAAGTGCCAGAACAAGTTACAATTTCAACTGTCTTTAGTGGGGTCACCAGAAATGAAAGTGGTGGTGAGACAGCCAGGACAACTCATTCTGGCAATGAAGTCTTTACGCTAAATAGTCACGACACTACAGCTTTGCCTCTTACAAGTAAACCAATTCTTATAAATACAACACACAAAGATGCCACAATATTGACTTCAGAAATGTTAAATTTCTCAGAATTCACGAATGCAAATGTTGGAAGTTTCAGGAATGAAGAATTAACAACAACAACAACAATCAGTAAACTAGAGGGTAATTACTTCAGCTGGAATGTAAATAATCCAAATGATGAGAAAGAAATGAATGAAATCATGGCAACCACAGTGGGTGCAGTAACAGACAGCAAGGCACCCAATACATTTCAGGTGACTACGACACCCAGAGTTACAACATCAGTTCAGGGAGCTGCATTGACAGAGTCAGTCTCATCATCTTCTCTGGAAACTATGTTGAAAACAACTCAAACAGTGCAAGTGTCCAGCACAGAAGCTATAATTGGAACTGCGAAAAACATATATAAGGGATTGAGTTCAAGATTGCCAGCAACAAATGGGATTCCCTCTGCGATATCTGCTTTGCCAACAACATATCTCCCACAGAAACCAGCCTCAGAAGGTACAAGTATAAATAAATTATTAAAAATCTAGTGAGGCAATATTACATGTTTGTATTATTGTGGTAAGCGTCAAAGACTGATTGGACTATTCTCTGCTATCACCTGGCATCCATGAACCTATCACTAGTAAAAGTTTGGAATTTGGTTTGGTCTTTTTAGCTTTAATGATTGTTTGCTGCTCAACCTCTCTATCAATTCTGTAGACGAAGCTTTTCATCTGCTCTGATATTCTTTCGCCCTTGCTCCCCAGATGTTCCATTCCAGTGTACTTTCTTCTAACCCAGTGCAAGTGCTTAAATTCTGCCCCCTCCGCTCAATATCCTAAATGTTCTTTTGTGCCAGCCTGATCCATGCAGGTGTTCCTACTCTCCACTGCGTGTCCCATTCTATAGTATTGTTTGTGACAGCTAATACCTCCAAACTGAACACTTGCCTTGACATAGAGGGTGGTCTCCAAATAAATTGCATAATGATGCTCTTTTGTAGTGTACATGTTGAATTATAGATCACAGAATCCCTACAGTGTTGAAACAGGCCCTTCAGCCCAACAAGTCCACACTGACCCTTGGAGCATCCCACCCAGACCCATCCCCCTATAACCCGCACACCCCTGAACACTATGCGCAATTTAGCATGGCCAATCCACGTAGCCTGCACATCTTTGGACTGTGGGAGGAAACCAGAGCACCCGGAGGAAACCCACGCAGACACGGAGAGAATGTGCAAATTCCACACAGACAGTCCCCCGAGGCTGGAATCGAACCCAGGTCCCTGGTGCTGTGAGGCTGCAGGGCTAACCACTTAGCCACACAAAACCGAAAAAAAAAACAATGGCCATAGGTTTAAGAACCATTATGCCTTCACCTTCTCTCCCGTATTAATTATCTAGACTGTGTATTTGCCAAGATTACCAACCTCTCTTCCCTTCTCTCACCCGACAGGTTCTGTTTCCTTCCTTCCTTCCAACTTTGCTGCCATTCTTTCAGTTCATCTTAAATATTCCTTCTTGGATCCTTTTTTCTTCAGTTTGTTGTTCATCCTCAGTTTAACATAATTTCTTACTGCATCCCAGACTGACGTGCCAATTTTTCATTCTCAGAAGTATATTCACAAGTATATCACACCACGTAAGGAAAAGTTTTATCTTGGAAAATGGAATATTTTCTACAATTTCAAGTATGGATTTTTATGATGAATTGACAAAATTAGAACAATTTTACCTCAAGTGATGTTCTAACATAAATTACTTATTTATAGGTCCTGGATAGGAGCAGTGAGCTTGAATACTAATATAATTTATGGAATTCGTAGATGCTGAAAAGAAAGAATGTCATAACCAAGGTGACTCTGAGTAAATGGGCACTGAAGCCTTCAGTAGAATAAATGAGAAACAACTTAAAATATCTACAACCAATGCAAAAATTGATAGTTATACTCAGTAATAAAACAACAATATTAAAACACTGGGCCTGAAATTGAACGCAGTTGCAGGACAGGAACGCCCCATAATTCTTTCAAATGAAACCTTGTAGGATACCCTTCTGGGGGTTGATTTGCTACCACTTTTTTCCCCACTGTTAGAGTTGAAATTTCAACCCTACTGTGTCAAAATGGCACGGAACAACTTTATGTCTAACACATCTTTTTCATTGAAAATCTAATTGTATTATTTCAGTTGAGAAAGAACACTGGTTGTGTTAATTGCTTTGACGTTTGTAGTTGAAAGATTGAACATGGGGGATGAAGAGAAATATTATAAAGCGATGCTTGTGCCAAATAGGTGCAGATTCCCTTTCATAGCCACACTTTCAGATTAAGAATAATAATTAGTGGAGAGCCAACTTCAATAGGGCAAGAATTGAGCTGGTCTGAATAAACAGGAACCAAAGATATCCTTAGATGTGCAGATTAGATGGATTGGCCATGCTAAATTGTCTATAGTGTCCAGGGATGTGCAGGCTAGGTGGATTAGCCATGGAAAATGCAGGGTTAAAGGGATAAGGTAGTGGGTTGGGTCTGGGTGAGCTGCTTTTCAGTGGGTCGGTGTGACTCGATGGGCTGAACGGCCTGCTTTCACATTGTAGGGATTCTCTGATTCTACGATTCAAAGATTGTTGGAAAAATCAGTTGCTGAACAATGGGCCACTTTCAAAGTGGAGATGGTTTGTGTATAGTCAAGGTATATTCCCTCAAAAAGGAAAGATAGGATAAACAAATCTAAAGCACCCTGAATTACAAAGGAGGTAGAAATTAGGTTAAGGAAGAAGTATGCTTTTCACTGGTATTAGGTAGTAAATACAATTGAAAATCAAGCTGAATAACAAAGCTCAGAACAAAGATGAAAAAGCAAATAGGAGGAGCAAAGATGGATTATGAAAAGGACTGGCAGCTAATATAAAGGGAAATGCCAAAGTTTTGTCTAAGTACATCGATAGTAAAAGGGTTATAAAAGGAGGAGTAGGGTTGATTAGGGACAAAAAGGCGATTTACACATGTTGGCACAAGGTAGGAGTGAGGTATTTAATGAATACTTTACATTTGTCTTTACCTGTGAATCAGACACCATCCAGGCCATGGTGACAGGAGGAAACACAATCACTAGAATTCTTTAAAGCTGATAAGGCAGAGGCACTGGATAAGGTCAGTGCTAAAGGTACGATGTGGAGGTGCTGGTGTTGGACTGGGATGGACAAGGTCAGAATCACAAGACACCAGGTTACAGCCCAGGTTACTCTCACTTCTTTCAATATTTTTGCGTGAGTCTCATTAGGCTTTGGTCTCTTATCAACTTCTGCACACGACACCAGGTTATAGTCCAACAGGTTTATTTGAAAACACAAGCTTTGGGAGCCTCACTCCTTCTTCAGGTGTTGGTGAGAGAGGTGGTATCAAACACAGAATTTATAAGTAAAAGATCAAAGGGTCACACCACTGATGAGGATGTACTAAACAAATCTAAGATGCTGTTAAATCTTTAAGCAGTTAGAAGGTTTTAATTGATTAATATGTATGTATAAATCTCCAAATTCCTTTGAAGTCACTGTCCTGAGAGAACTAAAGGTTTTATCAGTGTAAAGAAGAGGTGATGTTTTAGGTCAGACAATGCATGTTAGGTGTGAGGTTTTGTTTAGAATCTGTTTGTGTTTTGGTTTGGAGTCAGACTGGTTTTATTTCTAAATTAGGAATTTATAAAACACCACATTGACTGTCTATAAATTGTGTACTTTCTGAACAAAATAGAATGTATCTGCAAATACACATTCACCCCTTAGATTCATATATGTGTGTGTGTGTGTGTGTGTGAGAGAGAGAGAGAGAGGCAGTGTGTATGAGAGAGGATCTGTGTGTGTGTGAGAGAGAGAGAGAAACAGTGTGTATGTGTGAGTGAGTGAGAGAGGGACAGTGTATTGTGTGGTGGGGTCACCTGTAGTGTGACATGAACCCAAGATCCCGGTTGAGGCTGTCCTCGTGGGTACTGAACTTGGCTATCAGCCTCTGCTTGGCGGCTCTGTGTTGTGGTGTGTCCTGAAGTCCACCTTGCAGGATGTTTACCTGAAGATCTGAGATCGAATGTCCATGACCCTTTGATCTTTTACTTATAAATTCTGTGTCTGATACCACCTCTCTCACTAACATCTGAAGAAGGAGTAAGGCTCTGAAAGCTTGTGTTTTCAAATAAACCTGGTGTCATGTGCTGAAGTTGATAAGGCATCAAAGCCTAATGAGATGCACGCAAAAATATTGAAAGAAGTGAGAGCAGGAATTGCAGATGCACTGGTAATAATTCATTCCTTCCCAGATTTGGGGGAGGTGCCAAAAGACTGGAGACTTGAAAATGTTATGCCCTTGTTCAAAAAAAGATTGGTCCTGCAATTACAGACCAGTCAGTTTAAGTTTGGAGATGGGAAAACTTCTAAAAATAATTAATAGTCACATGGGAAAATTACATGTTAATTTGGGAGGATTGGCACGGATTTGTTGAGGGAAAAGCTTATCCAATTAACTTGCTTGAGGCTTTTGAAGAGGTAACAGGAGGATTGATGAGGGCAAGGCAGTTGGTGCGGTGTATATGGGCTTCTAAAGGTATTCGATACAATGTCATATAACAGAGCCGTGAGGAAAGTGATAGGTCATGAATAAAGAGGAAAATAGCAACGTAGATACAAAATTGGCTATGTGATAGAAAACAGTTTCATGGATATTTAAATCAAATCCAATGCTCTCTTGAATATCTCAATTGAATCTGCCTTCACCACTGTTCCAGGCAGTGCATTCCAAACCTGGACCACTTGCTGCATGAGAAGGATTTTTGGACTTTTTTGTGCTAGATGAACGCTTATATTGGTGTTTCTGAGGTTGGTACTTGGACCCTTCCCTTTCCTGATATACATATTTGTATATAGTGTGGATCTTAGTGTGCAGGGGACACAAAACTTGAAACTCTAGTAAACTGAATGGGGACAGTGCAGAACTTCAAAAAAACATTGACAAGTTGATGGAGTAGTTGAAAAGTTAGCAGATGAAGTTCAATGTGGAGAAGTGTCAGGTGATACACTTTGGTATAAAAAACATGGAGAGACAGTGTAAAATAAAGGATACTATTTGAAGGGTTATGCAGGAGCAGAAAAAAACCCATGTGCATATGTGCACTAATCATTAAAGGTGGCAGGAAAGAGCTGTTAATAACACATACAGTATTCCAGGCTTTGTTAGTAGGCGCATGGAATACAAGAGCAGGGAAGTTATGGTGAATTTATATAGGACATTAGTTACACCTCAACTGGAGTATTGTGAACAGTTTTGGGTACTACACTTTAAAAAGGATGTGAATGCATCGGAGAAAGTGCAGAACAGGTTTATGAGAATGGTTCCAGGAATGAAAAACATCAGTTATGAGAATAGACAGGAGAAGGTGGGATTATTTTCCTTAGAGAGGAGAAGGCTGAGATCTGATTTCTGAGGTCTGAAGTTTTCAAAATCATGAAGGACCTGGACACAG